CCACGTTCCCTTCCCACACCTCCACCCTGGCCTGGCGCTCAGCTGCGTCCTGTTAACACCCCAGCTACTCCCATCATCTCCAAGCCTGCCAGAGAGAAGCATTCCCTTTCCAGCAGCCTCGGAGCCGGCACTAGGGTGACCAGACGAGAGGAAGGGGGTGTCTGCCGGCGGAGCAAAAAAAAAAAAAAGCCGAATGCTGCCGGCGGAGGAAGGAAAAGAAAAGAAAGAAAAAAAAGCCGAGTGCTGCCGGTGGAGCGAAATATCGGGACAAACACCTAAATATCGGGCTGTCTGGTCACCCTAGCCGGCACCGTGGTGGCTGACCCTGGGACATGTCTACACTACAGCCACGTCAGCGGCACAGCTATGGTGCTGCTGCGGTTTCGCTGAAGCACAGACACTTCCTACATCAGCAGAAGCGGGGGTTCCATTGATGTAGGTAATCTACCTCCCCGAGAGGCAGTAGCTACGTTGATAGAATCCTTCTGTTGACCTAGCCACATCTACACCGAGGTTTAGGTCGACCCAACTACAGCACGTAGCTAGGTTGATCTAATTTTTGAGTGTAGAGCAGGCCTGAACGTGGGTAGGAGAGAGCAAGGACATGGCCGTGCAGGAGGAGGAGAGAAAAGCCTCATTGCTCCAGGTGCACAGACAGTATCACAGAGACCTTGTGCCCCAGTCACTGTGCCCGGCAGAACCTTCGTGCTGGCATAGCCAGTACAAATGGGCTATATGGCAGCTGCATGGCCCTGAGGGCACCTTCTGCAGGAACATCCCTGTACCTGGTCCCCCTGCACGGGGCACTGTGGGTGGGCAAAGAGCAGGCAGGAAGGGACAGGCCAGAAAGTTATGACATCCTAGAGATTCTGCAGACACTACAATGGCCCATAGATGGCTGCCCTACCCTGCACCAGGACTGAAATGAGCCCCGGAGCAGGGGGCATAATTGCCTCTCCTCTGGCTTCGGCTGGGCTGAATTCTCCTGACCGTCCCTTTTCTAACAGGAATATTGGTCTCCAGGCCCTGCTCCACTGGTAAGTCACCGTGTCCCTTCGGCACAGCCCTGGGACCAATTTCTTTCACAGTGCCAGCTAGCTTTAGTGAGTCAGACGTTCATAGATTCCCAGGCCAGAAGGGACCACTGTGATCATCTATAACACCGGCCAGAGACCTGCCTCAAAGTAATACCTAGAGCAGATCTGTGAGAAAAACATCCACTCTTCATTTTCAGTGATGGAAAATCTACCACAGCCCCTGATAAATTGTTCCAATAGCTAATTACCCTCACTGTCAAAAATCTACGCTAGGAGGGTGGTGAAGCACTGGAATGGGTTCCCTAGGGAGGTGGGAGAATCTCCATCCTTAGAGGTTTTTAAGGCCCAGCTTGACAAAACCCTGGCTGGGATGATTTAGTTGGGGTTGGTCCTGCTTTGAGCAGGGGGTTGGACTAGATGACCTCCTAAGGTCCCTTCCGACCCCAATCTTCTATGATACGCCTTATTTCCAGTCTGAATTTGTCTAGTTTCAAACTTCCAGTCATTGGATCATGTCAGACCTTCCTCTGCAAGACTGAGGAGTCCAGTATTAAATATTTGTTCCCCAGGTAGCTACTTATAGACTGTGATCAAGTCACCCCTTAACATTATTTTTGTTAAGCTAAATAGATTGAGCTCCTTGAGTCTATCAGGATGAGGCAGGTTTTCTAATCCTTTAATCATTCTCTTGCCTCTCCTCTGAACCCTCTCCAGTTTATCCTCATCCTTCTTCAACTGAGGACACCAGAACTGGGCACAGGATTCCTGCAGTGGTCGCAGCTGTGCCATGTACAGAGATGAAATAACCTCTCTGCTCCTACTCGAGATTCTCCTGTTTATGCATCCCCGGGATCCCAGTAGCCCTTTTGGCCACAGTGTCACACCGGGCGCTCGTGTTCGGCTGATTATCCACCGCCTGCAAAAGCTTTTTCAGAGACACTGCTGCCCTTGCTAGAGTCACTCAGCGCGTATGTACAGCCTACCCACTTTGTTCCTAGATGTAACATTCACACTAGCGTCAGGCTAATTTACCAAGTGATCCAGATCACTCTGAATCAGTGACCTGTCCTCTTCAGTATTTAACACACACACCCCCCTTCCAATTTTTGTGTCATCTGCAGACTTTATCAGTGATGATTTTGTTTTCTTCCAGACCCCTGATAAATATGTTAAGTAATGTAGGATTAAGAACCGATCCCCAGGGATCCCACGAGAAACCCACCTGTTCAATGACGATTCACCACCGACAATCACATTTTGAGACCAATCAGTTAGCCAGCTTTTAACCCCTTTAATGTACGCCAAGATAGTCTTATCTCTCTCTAGTTTTTAAATCAAAATGTCACGCGGTACCAAGTCAAACACCGCACAGAAGCCTAAGTCTATTACGTCAACACTGTCCCCTTTACTCCCTGGCTGGGCTGCAGGCAGCACTCTGGAGGGGCTGGTGGAAACAGACATGGGAGCACCCAGCGGGGTGACCCTCCCTGGTTCCACCTGGTCACCAAAGCAATCGGCTGGAGGTTGGCACAGTACAATGACTCTGCACTCTTCCCCTGTACATCTGCTCCTCTCCCAAAGCCCCTCACCCTGCCCTGTGGCTGCCCACCCAGCTCCACGCACAACTCTGCGGATGCCTCAGTCCTCAGCTGCAGACAAAGGGGGGTTCTGCACCGAGGACCAGGACGTAGAACGTTCCCATTAACTGATGATTTAATCCAGACATGCCCACAGTGATTAACCAGAGAACCAGCCCGCAGATCTTTGGGCCCTTCAATGACCGCAGCCGACAGAGAACGGAAAAAACGTGACTCACACTTAATCTGTTACAGCAGAAAAACCACCAGATCCGAATCCCTGACGCCTCCAGCCAGATATCACAGCACACCCACCCCTACCTGCAGCACGTGACTCGGTTCCTTTAGACGGAGCTGTGAACAGCAAGACACCGGACTCTGTCAGACCACTGGGAAGACCAAAGTGACCCCCTGAGCCCATTTCTGGGCCCTTCCTGCCACTCCCCTCCTGTCACCCCCCAGGACTGTGGAGGGCAGAGGGCAGAGCTGCTCCAGCCAGAACCCTCAGCAAAGCCCAATGGAAATCATGCTGATTCAGCTGTATGCCAGTCACAGTGCAGCCCCTCTCCAGTGCCCGGCAGAAGGGCTAATCATGGAGTTCTCGGGGATGAACAAAGTGCCAGTGGAGAGCGAGGGAGGGTCATGCTAGCTGGGACCTTGATGGAGAGTTCTCCTCGCTGCTGAGCAGTGAGTGGGACTGGCAGACCTTGACTTTCTGTGCCTGCAGGAGGCTCTGGTCCTGGTGGTCTCTCCTGTGCTTGTATCTCTCTGGTTCGCCCAGGGCCTGCCTATCTGCTGAGGCAATTGCAAGTGAAACTTGATCTCCAAGAAGCAGCAGCTAAGATGGGAGCTGGCACGAGTGTGAGTGGGCCTGAAGAGATGGGAGGAGGGGGGCAGTGGAACTGGGGGAGGAGGCTGGCAGGCCAGATGAGTTGCGGGGGGGGCGGGGGGGGAGCAAGTGAAAGTTATTCATTCCTGGGAGACCCTCTTCTGCTGCTCTCCCCTCCCTGCCACAGTAAGAGACCCGATTGCAGCCACTCCTAGCAGCACCTCGGTTAGACATTGCTCCCTAATTTGGACGTCCTGTTACAGTCTAAAAATAATCCCTTTGGATCACAATTCTCCCTAAGAATGGACTCCCCTTCGGACCTTGCTGGTGCAGGGAGGGACTCTGCCCACCTACCCTTTCGCCACCTGTTCTGATTGGCTAGCGCAATCCTGCCCTGCAAAGCTAAGGGCTGCTGGCATCCTTGAGATGCCGAAATCAGGCAGTGCTGGGACCCCCTAGCCAGTCGGGGGCGAGCCTTCCACTTGGCATTTCCCAGGTGAAGTGCAGATCGGCTGGGAGATCAGCGGGCATGGTGGGCACTGAATATGGAACACGCCCTGTCTGTGTGTGTGCTCGGGAGTGCAAGGGTGGGTCAGCCTGGCCACGGTACACACCAGCGGGCACCCAGACCCGGGCACAAATGGGCAGACTGGCTCCGAAAGACAGGAGCGCACATGTATGAGCAGAAGCTTAGCTAGAAGGAGCATGCGTTCACAGTGCCCCCAGGCACCCGGACAGGCAGTCCAAGCAGGCTATGAACAGGGACCATAGTGATGGGAAATCAGCAAACGACAGAGAGAGGGGTATGTAGATCAGCCAGCCAGATCCATGTTTAGAACCAATGGCAGCTCTCAGACATCATGAAGAGCCTGCAGAATGAATGGAAGGGACTGGATCGTGCTGCCCAGCGCAGGCAAAGCTCCCCGTGGGAAGAACGACGGGGCAGTGACTAGCCGCACACACACACTGCTGCAGCCCTCACAGCAAGGCCCATCTGTTGACCTAGGCAGAGTGTGCTCCCTCGGGCCTTTGTTTGGGCGGGTCTCCTATTGTTCCCCTCCCGGGCTGCGGAGGGCACGGTCAGGTTGACAGAGCTGCAGATTAAAGCAACGAATCCTAATTCCTCACCCTGAGCAATGCCCACAGAGCCCAGGTTCCCCCGCCCACCTCCAGTGCCAGGAACCGGGGCCCACAATATCTCCTCCAAATCCTAGTCACCGAGAGTTTGCCAAAGAGTCGCTGCCTGGCAGGCAGGTGCTGGGAATGGCTGATGCAGCAACGGAGCAGGAAACTGGGGAGGGAGCAGCCAAGGGATACGGGGTGCCCTCAGACTTGCTGCCACTGCAGGGACAGGACAAAGCCACTGCGCAGGGTAGGTTTGCTAACCGCATGTGAAAGAATCTGTGCCAGCCAACCTCCCTCTGCCTGCAGGAGAAGCAGCATTCTGAGGCACCTCCAAGAGCCGGGGGCTGTGCCCCATGTGCCCTGGCCGAATACAATCACAGGTTCCCACGCTAAGGACGCAGCAGCCTAACAAAAGCAAAGAGAAACGGTTACCTCTGCAGACGGTCCCGTTCTCCACCGATTCGTAGCCAGCCTTGCACATGCACCGTCCAATGGGCACCAGCCACTCCCCGTCCCCATTGCAGTACAGCTTGATGGGGACATCCACCTCCTCTGCGTTGGTAATGCACGACCCCCTGGCCGCCACCAGCGAAGTGCTCTCTGCTCCCGAGAGCGTCTCCTGAAACACGGCCCCGTTCTGGATCACTCGGGGGCACTTGCGGTAGAAGACCCGGACAGCGATTAAGGACATGCAGCCCCCATAGTCCTGGAACGCCAGATAGAATCCGTTCTTAGAGACCGGCCCGAAGCTGCGCACCTCGGTGTTGATCTTCATCACACGGCCACCCAGGTCCACCTGGGAGAAGCTCTCATCAGCCGCAATGGTGTCCACCTTTGCCCAGGGGTTCTCCATCCAGTTGGGAAAAGTCTTGGTGGCCGAGTCAAAGTCAGATTCGAAGTAGTAGAGATTGAAGGTCTCCTTGCAGGAGCCGGGAACGTTTGGGATGCTGCTGCAGTCCCGGACGGAAAATTTCATCTCCACGTGGATGCGGTGAGCTCCTCTCCTCCGTATGTACTTGGTCCGCAGCCAGTTGTTCTGATTGGACTCAAAGACGTTACACACCTGGTACGTCCGGATCGTGTTCATGTTCTCGTCGTATCCGCTCACCTCTTCCCACTGCGGATGGGACACAAAGAGTCAGTGGGCTGCATTGCATTTACATTCACTGGCAGTCAGCTTGGGCCCTGGTGGGGGCACAGCTCTGCCTCCCCCCCCATCCCCTGACAGGCAAAGGCTCAGGCTGCCTGGGGGGGAGGGAGGGGGAGGGGAGAGAAGCCAGCTTCAATGTGGGGTCAGCTGCATCGGTACAAACTGCGCTGCAGCAGGGTCAATTGTGTCTACACTAGGGCTCTGCCTAGGTGCAGCCACCCCAGGGTCTAATGCCAACGTACACTGAGTCCCTCCCAGTCTCCGGGCTCCCTGAGCCAGGGCACACGCCTCAAACACTTCATACTCATCTAATGCGCCACGCAGGCCGCTACTGGGAATGGCTGATGCATCGAAGGAGGGAGCAGCCGAAGGATACGTGGTGGTGCACTACCCTGCCACTGCCGGGCCAGGACAAAGCCACCACACAGGCCAGGGGCTCTATTCTCCCGGGTGGTTACTTGGTTTCCACTCGCGTTAGTGGGAGATACGTGCACTGACTGGCAGAGGAGACTCTCCAAGGGTCATTAAAGTACCTACATGTGTCTAGCACTGCCTGGGCTCTGGTGGAAGGGCTCTCCCCTCCCGGCCCATTCCACTGTCACAGGGGAAAGGGTTACTTGAGATTTTAAAAAGTAAACTGCAAAGAAACCCATGAAGGGCCAGAGTCTCCATCACCCTCCCCCGGAGCCGTCACTCACAGCTGGGCAAAGGGAGTGAATGGCAGCGGTTCACCATTGCACTGGTACAACTGACGGCCCGAAGAAGGGCAATGGAGTCAGACTCCCGGGGTGAAATCCTGGCTCCACGGCAGTGAATGGCAAAACTCCCATTGTGCCTTTCAACGCTCCTTTACGAGGGAGGCAGAGGTCTCGGGAATTTACTGGGCGTTTCCATATTTTTTTCTCCAAAGTAAAATGCCGTCTCAGCCCTGCATCTCCCTGTCTGTGCTGGGGGGCCTGGTGAATAACCTCATCCGGAGCCCTGCCTCCTGTCCCCACCCCGAGATGGGACGATGCGGAGTTGTAGGGGCCAACCCCGCACTGCACTCTGCATGGTCCAGAGAGAAAACTGGGGCTGTAACATCATCGTCTACTTTCCTTTTCTGACGCTGAGTGCGAGAACGTGCCTGCGCTGTGCCAGGTGCTGCAGCAGCACGAACCATGCAGCCCAAAGGCCTCTGTTCCACACAGAGCAGACACCACGGGGGCAGTGCAAGCTCCCACTCCGCCCACAAGCTTGGCCTGAAGCCTGGGGTCGACCGTGGAATTTGGGCTCTGGGACCCATTGCTTCCATGAAAGGTTCCGTTAGTGCCACGTGGGATCGCTCCTCATAGAACGGGGATGCCAGGAACTAGCCTGAGATCTGTCGGCTCATTTTACACAAGGCATCAGCCTGGGCTGGACTCAACCAGCAGCCAAGACATGAGACCCTCCAGAGCCCCTGACTGATCCCTGGCCCAACAGTGCAGCCAATAGGAGCAGCATGTCATGTCTGCTCTCTTGGCCAGCACACAACTAGAGAGCCAAGCTGCCTGGCTCGGGCTGTCACAGACTCCTGTCCTCTGGGGACTCCCCGAGGGGACCCTGGAAGACACCCCCCAGCGGGTTACAAGGACACGTTTTTGGAGGCCCCGGGCCCCCAGGAGGTGGGCTCTGCTAAAGGAAGGAGCTGCCCCGCCAGCCCCTCTTTGCCATTAGCGTATCGGTGCAGTATTTCCTTCTCGCTCGCAGCCCCGCTCTGCCAGGAAAGGCAGCCTGATCCTTTGCAGGATCTACCCAGAGTGGGGCAGGGGGCACCTTGCACCCCATTACACCCCAGCCTTCCCTGCACAACTCTGGGTGGGCGAGAGCAGGCCTCCACCCCACTCTGCCAAGACAAGAACTCGTGAGCCTCGCAGAGCGCGTCCCATTCCTGACGAGGAGAGGGGGCCGCTCTGCTCACCTCCAAGGGGCACAGCCAGCCGGGCCAGGCCTTTGTTTGCTGTAGCTTCGCTCTCCGCTGACTGGGAGACCATCATCTGGGAAGCTGAAACAGATCCCACCCCGCCCCACGCCCTCCATCCACCTGCCCTCCACCTGGGCTTTGGCCTTGTCAGGATGGTGAACCTCCCTCACTCTCCCCTTCCAAGCTGCCCTGTCCCTGTGCTAGCATTCCTGGGGCGCTTGCATGGCTCCCTGGGACGTGCTGCTCCCGCTGCACCAGAGGAAAGCTCTGGGCTAGGCAGTGTAGGTCCAACCCAGACAGGGACTAGCGTTTTGACTTCTCAGTGCCAGGCTGGGCAGGGTTCACACACATCGCTCAGGGCATTCGCCACCCAGATTAGACCCGTGTTAAGGTGCTGAAGGAGAATGATCCACTCCAAACTACTTGTCAGGGCTCCTTTCACTGCCTGAAATGGAGCAGAAACCCCAGTTAACCACTGAGCCCCTGGGCGGAGGCCTGGCCTCCGCCTTGTCTGCAGGGAGCTGCTCTGGTTTGTGACCAGGGTTTGCGGCCCAGAACCCTGCTCTGTTCCCAGGAGATGGAAGGGGTGTGTGTGTGCCTGGCATTCTGGGGGCTGTGTGGTGGGGCTGCGGCAGGCACGTGAATCCCATCTGCGAGCAGGTCACGTCTTTCCCAGGGATCCTCTCCAGCAGAGGCCCGTTAACGGCCCAGCCTCGCAGTAAAGTTACACGAAGCCTTTCGCAGATACTCCCACTGGTCCTACTGTGGTTACAAACGGGGCAGAAGCTCCACGGGAACCTGCTCCCTCAGGAGTTCCTAACTTGAAGGTAAAATCCTATTCCAGGCTGAACCTTGGCCGAGAGGCCAGGGCCATCCGCACTGGTGGAAGGGGCTGATTAGCAGCCCAGAAAATGGAAAGTGTCCAGTTGGCTGCCGAGCAGCAGCAGCGTGAGCAGTGGGGCAGCCAAGCTTCCCCACACTGCCCCCACTGTGAGCACGTGGCTGAGGCCGAGGGGCCCCTCGGAGAGGAGAGGGGAGCTCAGTCACTCCTCGGCCTCTGTCCTGAGGCTGCCAGCAAGGAAGGGAGTCAGGGCCCCTGCGGTGGCAAGGCCTGTGCAGAGAGCACTAAGCCCTTACCCAGCAGCGCCCAAACTTCTCCTCTCGCCCTCCCCCCCCCCAGTAATGGAATGCATCCATCCCCCCCGTGGCCAGAGGCTGGGAGCGGAGCAGGGGCCACAGCTGCGGCTGGGGGCAGGGCCGGAGTGGTGCTGGGCACAGAGCGGGACTGGGTGGTGCTCCCTCCCTGCCCCCCCCACGGGGGCTGGCATGAGTCCCACCATGCGCCCCACACAGTTTGGGGCCCACTGCCCTGACTGAGAGCCACAAACTCACCTCACATCAGACATGGAACGAACCTACAGGGAAAACAACCTCTCTAGACATTTGGCATGTGTGACCGGGAGGGTCCCTCTTGTTTGCGTCACCACTGGCAGATCTGACCCACAGTGACTGGCTTCCTCGGTGCTAATTCCCTGGGACCGCAGCACTTCTTGCCAGGAGGAGATGCCACTATCCCTTATGGCGAGGGCAAAGGCGGGACCCCTCTGCCACGCTACTTCCAGGAGCTGAGCTGTCTAGCTGCTCCCCGACCAGACAGAGAAGCCAGGCCAGCTTCACTTGCTAATCTCAGCCAGTTCACGACGGGCGCTGGGCCCGCAGCGGGCGCGTTTGGGGTCAGCGTCCCTGGCCTTTTCCAACCCGGATAACTGACATTTCTCACATTTTGACAATTAAGAAAAAAAAAATATCTGGGAAATTTTGTGATGAAGCCTTTGCTGAATCTCCCACCCCCCTCCGAGCGTTCCAGCGACTATGGCGAGTGGGCTACAGCTTCAAAAGCACCCGACTGCCGTTTTCAAAAGGGACGTAACCCCGGAGGCGTTTCAGTCCGATTGACAGCCAATGAGAATTCGGCTCCTAATCACACAGATGCTTTTTAAAATGTTACCCCACATCAAACATTTTCAAAATCTCAGAATTCAGGAATGGGGGGGGGGGTGTTTTTGCCGTCTGCTTGTTTTGGTTTTGACCCGTTTCAGTGAATCACTTTTTGTAACATCTGGGATTGCTTATCAGCCCCAATCTGGGTCCTACCCCACTGGTCCCTTAAATCCCCTGGATGCAGGGCCCACGTCCCGAGGAGAACAGAACTCACCCCTGAGGGAGGATGCACTGTCCAGCCCAGCTCTGCCGTCGCCGTGGTGGAGTCCATTAGCGTTTCTGCGGGGAGATTACAAAAAAGAGCCGTCAAGGGGAGGCAGGTCCAAGCGAGCAGCACAGCAGAGCCATTCACCCACCCCAGGAAGGCCTCCAGGCACGGCTCAGGGCAGGAGCCTGAACAAGCAGATTGGTGCAGAAACCAGCTCTGAGCCTGGGCAGCGAGCAGCCTCCGCCCCAGGTTAGCATCTTGTCTCTTCTCATACCACTGGTGACCCCCTCCAGAGCTGGGTTCCGCCTGCTCTCCACAAGGAGGGGGGCCCATGCTCAGCTAGGGCGCGATCCACGGAGAGCCTGCCCTTCGCCTCCAGTGGGCACTGGATCCGGCCCTTGGCGCCAAGCCCAGCCCCATCTCCGCTCGTGCACTGGGGATCTCCCTCCGGACCACGGGCTGGGGAGAATTCTCCAGTCCCTCCTGCAGGCTCATAACGGGCTGATCCACGGAGGGGCAGACAGAGGCCACTCAAGACAATCTGGTGTGTTAGGGTGCTGCACCCCTCCGCCTAGCCTAGGGCAGCTGGTCATGACGGAGCGGGAGCCAGGCCAAATTAGAGTGAGTGGTGGTGTGACCTGGCACCCAGGGTCGCAATACCACACAGATTTGGCCTAGCCGCTCTCTGGCATGACAGAGGGGCAGCCGGGCCAAATCTGCAGCCCATGGCAGCTGCCTAGTCTACCTAAGGCGAGAGTAGCCCCTGGTGGTAGCTCCCCCTGCCCCACCCCTTCCCTGGTCTGCCTTGCCCCAAGCAGGAGCTAAGCTCCATGTAGGAAGTGCTGAAGCGGCTGGGTTCAGCCGTGTTATCGTGCTGCCAATCCCGCCCGTCTGCGTAGAGGAACCCATCCACTCTGCGCTGGGGGTCGGCATTTAACCCTACGTGCCACGTGTGCACAAGCAGCGGCAGCCGTCTGAGCCATTGTGGTGCTCAGGCTCGGCCTCGGAGAGCCCTGGCATTGGTCCATCTCCGAGCACGGCCCTGCCCACCTTGCTTCACCCACAATCTGTACCTACAGGGGGCTGCAGCCCAACCGTTGCACACCGTCCACGGGTGAAGTCCGCTCCTCCACGGGCGGGTTTCCCCCTTTACAAATCTAGAACCCTAACGAAATACGTGGCAGCCGCTCGGAAACGGCAGTTCAGGAACTGCAGCCCAGCGAGCGGTAACAGAGGCTCCTCTGCTTAGAGAGCTGAAGAATACGACGTTTTGCCACCACTTTGCACGGTAAGAATCATGGTCAGCAGCGCGGCCAAACAGCACCTTGTATTGCACAGGGAAAAACCCTGATTTAAGGATTTACACGACATTAAACTAACATTAAGGCTGATTTTCCAGCCAACGTGGGTCCAAAGGCTTTAGGTCAGATGATGTTTCAGCCAGTCAGGACTGAGAATAAAATAGACAATGTTTTATAGACAGTGCAGGCTGCAATGGTGACCGTTAAGGCTGCCAGATACTTTCCATTATAAGATCCTTCTTTCAATTTCTTATACATTTGCCAAAATGTAACCATTCCGTCTGAAATTTTCCTTGCCAGGTGTCTGCCTCGGGTGGAGATGTTCTGGAAAGTTTCAGAGAAAATGGTCCAGCCTTTTCTCTGAACAAAATTAGGAAAAATATGTTGTTTTCCCCGTGTTAACAATAGCCACACCAAGCATGGGGGTGGGTACTGCTGCAGCGCTTTCACAGTGCCCCGCCGGGCTGCAGAGGGGGGGAGCTGGAAACTGAAGACCCCCACATCCCCCTCCAGGTTCTCCCACACCCTGCACTCTGCCACACAGAGCCGCGCTCACGCAAGGTCAGTCTCATGCCTGGGCCCCCCGCCCCCATCCACCGCAAAGGGCTGAGCGTGGCAACAGCAGGGAGGGCTGGATTTGGGGCTGCTGAGGGGGGACACAGGTCACAGGGGTTTTACCATCTCAGCCTTTCCTCCAGGGATGGATTTATTTTTAAACACAGAATCCCTTTGATTGTTGCTTCTTCGTGTTTAGGAACCGGCCAGGCCCTGGTACGCTTGGCCACCTGTGTGATGGAGCCACACAGCACGGGCTCTGTTAACCCGCCCACAGCGCACAACGTGGGACGGGGAAACCCAAAGGCAAGGGCAGGGGACGGGCTGGCAGCGCAAACCCTGCCAGGTGTGCTGGGCACCTTCCGACGCAGTGGTCCTGGCGGGGAAGACAGAGGAATCAGAGGCTGGGACCCTGGAGGGGCCCCGCTGGAGAGATGCTCCCGGTTAGCAGTGTGGAAGTACTCCCTCCAGGCAGCTTCCTGAGGTCACATGCCGTCAGACCCAGGGAGGCTGAGTGGGGGCGACACAGCAAGGGCCCAGGCCCACAGAGCTAGGCTAACTGGTCTGCACTGGGGGACCCAGATACCATGCTCCTGCCACTTGCCTCTGGAAGCGTTACCAGATGAGCATGCCACATACCAGAGGCACCGACTCCATGGGTGCTCCAGGGCTGGAACACCCACAGAAAAAAATCATGGGTGCTCAGTACCCACCAGCCACAGCTGTTTGGCAATTTGGGGGAGGACAGAGAGCAACGAGCGGAGGCTTCACGGGGGGCGGAATGGGGGCAGGAAGAGGCAGGGCAAGTGTTGGCCCTCGGGGGAGGGGGTGGAGTGGGGGCGGGGCCTCGGGCGTACCCCCGTGGGGAAAAGTAAAATGCAGGGCCTATGCCACATACACAATATAATCTTATACTTCAAGTGCTGTTCTCGTCCGTTTCTCCTTAATACCTTTCGTAGGCGAGAGCTAGCAATCCTCACACACCGCTGTATTAGCGCTGACAAGATACCTTACAATACTGGCAATGTAACTGCATCTAGTCACCCCAACGTATAAGCAGGACTTAAAAACCCACGATGAGATAGGCTCCTGATGAGACAGTACTGACAATGACTTCTCCTTTGGAGGAGTCCTCTCATTAGCATAGATATGAGTCGCTGTGTTTGCTCTTGGCCTGTGTGCGTAGGGTTTACGTTGTCTTTCTGTGTTGTGCTCGACTTTCATGCTAAAATGTATTGGAAAAAATATTTTAACTGTTATTTCTAAACAAATTTCCTCCAACTTCAAAGCCCACACGGAAGGCTGGGTTCAGGGAAAGTCTGATGCTTCCACAGAAGACCGTATCTTAACTAGTGAGCAGCCGTCTCTGAAACGGCTGCCCAAAGGGGACTTGTTTGCAGAAAGCTCTAATTGCCTGAAAACAGGCTTGGGAGTAAAATACCTTCTGACCCCAATGAGAGCATCCCAGACAGTCCCAGGTGAGAGTGTGTGACGGAGAGTCTATGGCTAGGGCTGCACTGAGGTTTGCGGTTATAGCAGGGCTTAGATCCCTTTCCTAGGTCTGAGTAACGTGCAGCGCACACGCAGGGTGAAGAGTGCATTTTCAGGGATGCTCAAAGTCAAGCTATTGAGGTGTTTAGGAGTTGGATGCAGTTCCACATGAAACGTAGCCTGGGATCTCACCTTTCCTCCACTCCCTCCGGCTACCAAAGGGCTGGGACGGGACACTTCAGACTTTAGGCCCGCGCAGCTCCAGACTAAGGCCCCAATCCAGCAAAGCACTTTAGCATTTGCTTGAAGTTTTGTAAGTGCTTTGAAATGGTGCTAGACCGGGGTCTGAGTCCCAGATACCAGCTTGTTTTACATTAAAAAGGAGACACATTATGTGACTTTTCCCAAAGAAAGCGACAGAGATTGCCACCGCCGTCATTCCACAGCCAGCAAAGGGCTGGAGTAGGAGTGAGCCTTCACTCCCCTGTCCTACTGCCCAACCCACCTCCCCAGCCTCACTCCCCTAGCCCCATGCAGCCCCTCTCGCTAGCTCCCCCATGTGTCCCTTGGTTATGTCATATCACAGGAAGGCCTAGTCTGGCACACCTAGCCGGGTTCATTGGCGTAGGGCTGCTCTCCTGGGCAGCACAGGAAATCTGCCATTTGTGCTTCTTGGGGAACCTTTGCTGGAAGGGAAGCCGCCCCCTTCCTGCTCTGTCCAGCACTTGGGGGTCGGGGGGCGGAGCAAGGAGGAGGCACCCGGAGGAGGAGGCATTCAGCAGCTGTCCTCCAGGAAGCAGAGGTGGTACCTCGCTAGGGAGGTGCTTCCTGCTCTGGGCTTCCACAGGTTAAGCAGTGCTTTGTGGAAGTGGCAGCTGACTTTGCAGGGACACAAGGTGTTCGAGAGCAAGGGAGGGACCCTGAAAGTAAGGTACTAGGACAGAGAATGGGCGTGGCCAGGCTAAGCCTCTGAGCATGCCCAGTGGGAGCTGGATAGTTGAAGTGCCAGAGCAGACTCGGGCTGGGCTGAATGCTCGCGCAGGCAGAGGTGACGCGGGGGGGGCGGGGCGGGGCATACGGCGGGGCTTTCCCCCCCCAAATCTGCCTCCTGAATGCTCACCGTTCCAGCAGTCATCTAGCTTCAGAGGTGGGTGGGGAAGTCTTCACAATCAGCCCTCAGGCTGCGCATCTGCCAAGCACGTTAGCCCTGGGCACGGCTCGTGAGGATAGGACGCAGTAGAAGCATGTGGACATGTGATGGTCAGTCCTAACCAGCCTTGTGAGCTTTAGCTCCCCCTGCTAGGGCGGTCACTGGCTTCCGGGTCAGGGGAGGGGCGCTCCAACCCAGCCCGGTCTCTGGCCAGTGAAGTGCAGGCAGGAGACTGGCCTGGATGTAGGACGGGGCATTCCTGCAGTGCATGACCCAGGGCTCCCGGCCGCTGCATTGTCCTCCCAGGTGGTTAGTTTTTAATGACGCCGCGGTGCTGAGTGGAGGTCGCATTGCCAACACAGCAGGGAGAGCAGCTGAGGCACATAGGCCCAAGGAGATTTGAAATGAGGAAACAGGCGGAACTTTTCTTTCTGCGGGTTCTGAAGCGTCTGCAGTGTAATTTCTGTTCTTCCACTGTGCCACAACTGGGTCCATGGTGACTTCATGGAACCACCTGGAGGAGCTGCTGGTTTTACTGGCTATAATGGGAAACTTATTCTGCTTGGAAACTGGC